CACCGTGCCTGGACCTAAACCAAAGTTGTGTTTTGTTGTTGGACTTCTGTGCAAACCACAGTTTGTCCATAACGAACACCATGTTTGAACATAAGGGTGTCTGTAAGTGCACGTGGCACCAGGACTTCCTAGGCCGCAAGTTGATGATGGATTTTATAGTCGTATCACCAGACCTGCGCCCATATTTTCTAGACACTTAAGTAAAGAGAGGGGCTGAGCTGTCAACCAATCAACAAGTGGTGGTGAGTTGCCATCACATGGCAGGGGAGGATGCTGGACAGACCTGGCGCACCTAAACGTATAGTGAAGGTGCGTTAGGAATGCCTGACAGAGGCCCCGGTCCATGATGATATCTTCAACACATACCTCCGGCAGATCTTTAACCGCATTCCAATGGAGACTGGGGACATTTAGTCTGAATACACCATGTTCAGGACCTCCATTGTGGAAGCTGATGCACTGAGCTGCGGACACAAGGTGGTTGGCGCCTGTCGTGGTGGTAACCCCCGAACCAAATGGTGGACACAGAAGTGAAGGGAGTCACCAGGCTGAATAAAGAGTCCTATCGGGCTTGGTTAGCCAGTGGGACTTTGGAGCCAGCTGATAGGTATCATCAGGCCAAGCAGAACACGGTTCAGGCAGTGGCTGGGGCAAAAACCTTGTGTGGGAGGAATTCGGAGAGGCCATGGAAAAAGACTTTCGGCCCGTCTTGAAGAGATTCTGGCAAACTGTCAGGCGACTCAGGAGGGGAAAGCTGTGTTCTACCTGCACTGTGTATAGTGCAGGTGGAGTGCTGCTGACTTTGACTAAGAACATTGTCGAGCAATGGAAGGAGTATTTCAAATACCTCCTAATCACACTGGCACATCTTCCATGGAGGAAGCAGAGTCTGGGGACAAGGGGGACAACACGTCTATCTCCAGGGAGTAAGGTCTTTGAGGCAGTTAATACAACTCCTTGGTGGCGGGGCCCTAGGGTGGATAGGGCTTGCCCTGAGTTCCTGAAGGCTGTGGATGTTGTAGGGCTATCTTGGTTAACACAACTCTACAATGTTGGGTGGAGATCAGGGTTGGTACCTCTGGATTGGCAGACCGAGGTGGTGGTTCCCATCTTTAAGAAGGGGGGCCGGAGGGTGTGTTCCAACTATAGGGGGATCAGACTGCTCTGCTTTCCGCAGATGATTTGAAACAGACATGGTTGTTAAGATAACAAGGTAAATGATTTAGATTGTAAAATATCTTATCCTTATAAGGTCTGATAAGGTTCTGTGTGCACTTGTGTACCATGAGATGAGAGGAAGCAGCCTCGACATTATAATTTCCATTATAGCTTTAGGAACCAGACTGTTATGTTCCATTAAAGTGCAAGACTTCACACTTTTAAATGTTCATTTGCGATATGACCTATTGCAACTTCCTGTTTTTATAGTTTAGCAAGACGCTTACTTCTGCTTTTCTTCTTACCTCATACACACATGTTAAATTCATTGAAAGGTCGTATGTCTATGTATGGTATGGCTGAAAGCACACAGGCACACATGCACCTACACACACCCACACCCACAGAATTAGGGCTGGGTATCGTCACTGATTTCTAGAATCAATTCGATTCCGATTCACAAGGTCCTGAATCGATTCGATCCACAATTCGATTCGATTTGAATCTGGGAAATTTTGCCTCAGACAGTCAGAAATATTATAATTCAGATCAGTATATTTATATATTTTTGTATCTATAAAAAGGAAGCTGACACTCACAAGTCTTTATCAAAGGTGCAAGCATCACAGCAGATGCCTTTGTGTTAAAGCAGCTGAAGATGAAACACAGAAAAACATGAAGGGGATTTTCCTGGCCTGGGATTTTATAAAAATATTCTGCAGTAGATCAAAAACGAAAGAAAACCATTAATCAACATATGAACATTACCTCTGAAGTTACAGAGGTTTCATTAGAGACACGGCTGAGCGTTTTGAATTTTGCATAATTGTAAAAAGTTTAAATTTGTCCAGTAGCCTATTGAACGGCAGAAATTATGTTTTCTTTTTGGAAGTAAGTAAAAGGAAAATAAAAAACAGCAGCCGACAGCGCTGTAAACAATGGTAGACTTGTGCGTAACAAGCAAGCGAATAATGCAGAAAACAGATTTTTAGACGGGAAACTGTTCTTGAAGTACACCGAAAGAGAGAGAGAGAGAGAGAGAGAGAGAGAGAGAGAGCTGTGCATGAAGTGTGGTGGAAGCAAAAAGAGTTCAGGTGAAGGGATCTTTTCCTCGACCTGGGCTGACTTCCCTCGCAAGCCAAAAACACAGACACCGCCTTCTTGTCTTGTTTTGTCATGCAGTTGATTGTCTCGTGTTCCAGTGGGTTTGTGCCTAGATAAACCTAACACCCAGTGTTTTGATTTTTGTAGTTGTCATGGCTGTGTGCAGGCAGGCAGGGAGGAAGGAGCCAAAATGCAGGACTCGGAGGCAGATGTAAACTCAAAACACGCAGCTTTATTGCTGGGCAGAAAAGGAACATAAACTTAACTAAACTAAGAATACAGAAATAAACTAAGCAGACAGGCAGGCTAGCAGACGGGACACACAGTTAACTTGAGGGTAGAAGACGTTAATGACGCGACACCGAGTAGGGGAGGACACAGACACTAAATACAAGAGATGAACGGAGCGAAGAGGAAACAGCTGGGAGACACGGCTGATGCTGATTACACTGACGAGACAGGGAGAGCACAAAGCTGAATGCACTGACACAGGACACAGACCTACAAAATAAAACAGGAAGCACACAACAGACAGAGACACAGACGCAGACTCATAAGCAGGCATAATGACATCATGGACAGACAGGGGGGACATGGAAGGAGGGACGAGGACAGGCACAGAACAGAAACCTAACAAAATGGCGAATAATAATGGAATGCCTAATCAGAATAACAAAAGCATAAAGAAACACAAAACACTGAGTCAACAGGCTCAGGTCCACGGCAGTACCCCCCCACCCCCACCCCTCCCCCCCAAGGGCTGGCCCCAGACAGCCCAACAGAACACACGACCCGGAGGCCGACAGCACAGGAGGCCAAAACAGTTCAGTTCCGGAGGCCGACCGTGCGAAAGGCAGCGGCAGCGGGGCAGGTCCGGAGGCCAGCCGCGTGGACGGTAGTAGCGGTGATGGACAAACAGTTCCGAGGGCCGGCCGTGCGCACAGCAACGGCGGGCAGACGGCAACGGCGGCGTAGAAACAGTTCTGGGGGCCGACTGCGTGCATGGCAGCGGCGGCGACAGAGCAAGTCCGGAGGCCGGCCACACGGAAGGCAGTGGTGGCGTTCAGGAGGTCGTCCACCGTGGCGTCAATGTCCAACTGGCAGAAGCCTGGCAGAAGGCCGACGATGTTGAGGCAGCAGTACAGGACCCAAAGGTTGCGTGGCCCCCCCAGCACTGGACGAGGCCGAGGCAGAGGCTGGACCAGGCGAAGCTGAAGCTGAAGCGGAGGCTGGACCAGGCGAAGGCGAAGTTGAAGCTGGACCAGGCAAAGCCAATGAAGCTGAAGCAGAGGCTGGACCAGGCGAAGCGGGTGAAGCTGATGCGGAGGCTGGACCAGGCGAAGCTGATGCGGAGGCTGGACCAGGCGAGGCCGCAGACTCGGAGGCTGCTGCAGGCGGCGTGGATGAAGCTGCTGCCGCAGGCGGTGTGGATGATGAAGCTGCTGCCGCAGGCGGCGTGGAGGCGGCGGCGTGGACGAAACTGTGGATGCATGATGAAGCTGCTGCTGCAGGCGGCGACGTGGTGGAACAGCTGGTGGCTGGACAGGCTCCTCGGGCCCCCCAGCTGCCGAGGAAGGTTGCTGGACGGGCTCCTCGGGCCCCCCAGCAAAAACAATCACAAAACCAGCGGGCACTGGGGCATTTCACGGAAGAAGGGGCATTTCACGGACACCTGCCCTTCTCGGTCAAAAGAGTCAGCCCGTCAGTAAAGGTGGGGATACTGACGGGTACTCCCGCACTCAAAGCACTCACCCACCAGTCGTCTTCTTCTCCGGGTGAATCTAGTCCGCCCCAGTTGCATGGGTTGCTCCTCATCAGCCGGAGAGTCAGGTTCCTCCTCCCTCCATTCCAGTGAGGGAAGTCCAGTTGGAACTCCTACGCCCCTTGCTGACCGCCGCCCATCTCCAGATTGTCTGCCAAACTCTCGCATATGGTCATCCAGACTGATACACAAATTCACCAAGGCACTCAACAATTTAGGTAGCTCTTTAGTTGCCAACTCACGTTTGATGTTCTTGTTTAGGCTGTTTAAGAAAGCCCCTCGGAGTGCCTTCTCCTCCCAGCCGGCCTCTTCGGACAGGATCCAAACATCTACGGAAAAGTCAGCAACGCTCCGCCGGCCCTGTTTCAATGTAAACAAACGATGAGCAGCACTGTCTGGGTTAGACCCCTTATCAAACACACATCGAAATTTGCTTAAGAAGTTACTGTATGAGATAGAGGGCAGAGCGCTCAGCACCGCTTGAGCCCACTGCAGAGCCCGTCCAGTCATTAGCTCGACCATAAAGGTGATTTTGGCAATGTCAGAGGCATACGCTTGAGTCTGCTGCCTAAAAACCAAGGAGCATTTAGTCAAAAACCCCCAACATTTATCCAGGTCCCCGCCGAATTTCTCAGGCATCGGTAATGTGTGTTCATGTCGTGGCGGGGGTTGAGATGGCGGAAGAGGAGACGCCGCTGCTTCATCTAGCAAGGCTACAGGTGGTTGTGGTAGTGCAGGGCCCCCCTGTGGTTGAATGGGTGCCCTGGGTGTAGCGAGCAACATACCTTTTAGCTCCGATACCACCTGTAGTAACGCGGACTGCTCCTCTGCGACATGCTGCAGCATTTTCTCATGTCGCTCCAATCGTTCAGGCTGGAGCGCGATCTTGCGCTGGAGGGGGGTAGAGTCCACTGAGTCCATTGCTGGCTGGATTGTTCTGTCACAGCTAATGGAAGGTGTGGACTCAGGCGCGGAGCTCTGGGTTTAAGCAGACAGTGCGTTTATTTACAGTGCTTGAAATACAGTCTTTAAATAGCAAGATATCCACAAAATGTCCTTTCTCTCAATTCCCAAAAGTGGTGTAGGTGAGTTTCCCCGTGAAGTCTGTGTGCACTCCTTCCGTGTGAGTTCCTCCTCCTGAAAACACCAGTGAATCCTTTCTTTCCACTCCCCCGTCCCGTACTTCTCCACCTGAGAGACGAGCAAACACAACAGCGGATAAGAAGGCTTGCCTTGCTATGCGGGTTACAGAATCACGAGCACACTTAGCTACCGAGCTCCGAGTACAATCCAGCGTAGACTGCCGACTGGACGACCTGCAAATAAACAAGCAGGTCGTCCGGGGAGGACCGTCCGACCGTCACAATAACAACACAACGCACAATGAGGTGGTACTCAATTGTAACAGAAAACAACAGAAACCAAATACAGTCAAGTCGAGCCTCCTTTCCACTAGTACCTACTTAGGTACTAGTAGAAAGGAGGCATTACTTGCCGCCTAGTGTCATGGCTATAGTTTTAGATATAGTTTTAAATAAGTGCTGCTGAAGATTTTACCATGTCTTTTGATAAGGCCGAGGCCTATCAGCTTCTCATTTGTGATGATGATGTGATGACTACAATTGGTAGTTTTTCTTTGGTAGCATAGTTCTTGACAGTGAATACGTTACAATCTAAGAGTTATGTAATGAGTGGAAGAAACTTTAGCAACAAGCTCAACACAAATCTCTCCAGATCTGTGGCGCTACCAGAGGTGGCGTGCGTTACGGTAACCTATGCCGCCTGAGATGTGCCTCTAACCACGACCTGGCGTTTTTGGCCCAGATGGCATTATTAAATGTTAGGTCGTTGATGAACAAGACATTTATCGTGAATGACTTTTTTACCACTACAGGTCTGAATTTACTCCTCCTGATGGAAACCTGGATTCGTCCTGGTGAGTCCAGTTTCCTTTTTCTGAGCTCCTTCCCCCAGACTGTGCTTTTTTCAGGTTTTCTCTCAAGGATTGGACATTTGTGTCAAGGACACTAGCAACACTGGGATCTCTGATCACTTTCCAGTCATTTTTGATGCTGATCTATGCAAAACTGATCTGAAGCTTGGAGGCCCTCGATGCCTTGTGCATATCATTGATTATGGGACTGCGGCTGAATTCTCGTGTCTTTCTCAGAATCTGTCCTCCCTGATACAGATGGCATCACACAGTCTTTATTTGATGATTTTGCCAACTGCTTACTTACTTGCACCCCGATACTGGATACTCGCCTATAAAAGTGAAACGTCCTAGAAGCTGTTCCCGACCTTGGTTAAATGACTCTACACGAGCCCTACGCCGTACCTGCCGTCAAGCCGAGAGGTGGTGGAAAAAGGATAGGCTCCAGGTGTCCCTTAATATTTTATGCAGGATGCCCTTCCAATTCCAGAAATCTGCTAAGATAGCCAAAGCTGTTTTTCTGTTGGCTATCGTTACAAATAAGTCATAATCCACGTATTTTATTCAATATTTTTAATTCCCTGGTTAACCCTTATCCTGAAGCATCGAGGCTGGCTTCTTCGGCCATTTGTGAGGAGTTTTTAAATCACTTCACTGATAAAACTGCTACCTTAAGAGCCTTAAAAGCTCCGGTGATGAGCCAAGCCCCTGCTTTACACTGCTCTATGACACTTACTCCGTTTGAAGCAGTGCCACTTCCTACCCTTAAGGGAATTATTGACCATTTAAAAAATTCAAGTTCTGTTCATAACATTCTCCAATCTCACATTATTAAGGAAGGATTTAATGTAATTGGGCCTTGTATATTATCACTAATCAATCTTTCTTTGTCACTGGGTTGTGTTCGGGCTGCCTTTAAACATGCTGTAGTGAAACCTGTTCTTAAAAAGCGTTCCCTTGATCACTCTAACCTCGCTAATTACAGACCTATCTCGCATCTTCCGTTCCTGTCAAAAATCCTCGAGAAGATAGGTCTGAAGTTGTGATAGGACTATCTGAATACGAATAACATCTGGGATAAATTCCAATCTGGGTTTAAACTGCGCCATAGTACAGAAACGGCACTTTTGGGGGTCTTCAATGATCTTCTTTTAATTACTGACTCTGGGTGCCCTGTGGTCTTAGTTTTGTTGGACCTGTCCTCTACTTTTGATCTGGTGGACCATAATATCCTCTTAATGAGGCTTGAACATCTGGTTGGCATTACGGGTATGGCTTTTAGTTGGTTTAAATCCTACTGATCGGAGAGATCCTTCTCTGTCAACATGGGTACCTACTCCTCTTCCATTGCCCCCGTTATCTGTGGTGTTCCTCAGGGGTCTGTGCTGGGTCCTATGCCGTTTTCTCTATATATGTTACCCCTTGGTCGTATTATTGAAAAGTACAAACTCTCTTATCATTGCTACGCAGATGACATTCAAATTTATTTTTTCTTTCCGATTCCGCAAGTAATTTGGATGTTTACCTGGACGAGTCCTTTAAGTTTGAGAAGCACGTGTCCTCTGTTATTAAATCTTGTTTCTATCAACTTTGTTTAATTTCTAAGGCCAAGCCATACTTACCACATGAGGATCTAGAAAAGCTTATCCATGCCTTTGTCACATCCAGGTTAGACTATTGCAACTTCCTGTTCACTGGGCTTCATTCTGCCCTTCAGATTGCAACTCGTCCAAAACGCCGTGGCTCCCCTTCTAACTGGTACTGTAAGGTTTGAGTCTATCACCCCAATTCTCACTGGCCTCCACTGGCTTCCAATTAAATACAGCATTGATTTCAAAATTCTACTGCTTACCTACAAAATCCTAAATAATATCACACCTAGCTACCTTATTGATCTCCTCAGCGTGTATATTCCCAGTAGAACACTGTGATCGTCTGACCAATTGCTCTTGGTGCAACCTAGGTCACAGCTGAAAACCAGAGGTGACCGTGCCTTCGCTTCAGTCGCACCTAACCTCTGGAATAACTTCCCTCATGCTATTCGCGCGTCTGACTCGATCCAGACCTTCAAGTCTCAATTGAAAACCCACCTTTTTAGTCTATCCTTCCAGGCTTCCTAGACCATGCCTTTTAAGTCTACTTTCTTGCCCTCCCCTTTTCCTCCCTTTGCTTATATTGTTTTATCAATTTTATCTTTAAGTCTTACTTGCTTATCTGCGTACTTGTATGCTTGGTTAATCAATGCCTCCCACCTGCTAGCTTATCTGCCTTTGTACTTTACTACTGTTTTTGTCACGGCGAGTGAGAAGAGCCGTGTGGAAAAGGAAAAAGAGGATCCAAACGCAGGCAGTCGTGAAGGTGTGAAGGTGATTTATTGAACAC